GATAATACTGTAGCGGAGTTTAGGCGAAGCCCTGCTGCTGTAGTTCATCAAGATCGTCACCACGCCGTCGTGCTGACGGAACTCTTCCCCGACACTTTGCTGGATCGGAGTCCGGGGATCGTCATCGAGCTGAACGTGTGCTCGAACTCGGAGGTGCCGTAGTTTCGGTGCTTGATCGGTTGGATCGTGAAGACGTACACTACTTCCTCTACGTCGTGTCATCGCTTCCGCAGTCGGTCTGCGTTGGGTACGTAGACAATACTCTTCCCCTCGTTGCTATGCATCACATGATCTTGCGTGTGCGTAGGAAATTTTTTGAAATTACTACGAAACCCAACACCAGCAATCTCAGGGACGCAAAGCACCTCAAGGGAAAAGGTTTGAAGCCAACTTCAACCTTCATCCGGATAGCGTAAAAGGAGTTGGTGGTTCGCACGATGTTCCTCCTGGACCAAGCAATGTCGTGGTTCCTTATCTGCCTGAGGCTACTGCTGAAATGGAGAACACGTTGATTGAGTACACTACAAACAACGTGTTTGGCGACTTCGACTAGTCCCTCAATCTCCTTAGTGATCTACTTAATTATGTCCATTTGTGATGATTGTAATAAGAACATAAGTTTGTTGTTGTCTTTATATTGTATTGTATCAGCACATTTGATATAATAAAGATTGTATTCTATATATTACTATGAGGTTTTCTTATTGAAAATTCTTTGTTTTATATAGTTTTTTACGGGGACAATCCGATGGAAGAGGAATTATGCCTTGTGGACAGTGGTGCCACAAACTCCATACTGAGGGAGATGAAATATTTCCAAACTCTGAAAAAGACAAATGAAGATATTCTAACTATCGTTGGACGCGATACTGTGATTGTTGGTACTAGACGTGCCATATTCACCCTCCCAAGTGGTACATATGTGACAATTGAGGATGCTTTACTGTATCCCGATTCTGCACGTACCCTGATCAGTTATCGAGATATCCGTAAAAATGGTTTTCATATTGAAACCCATGAAGACAACAAAGAGGAGTATCTACTTTTTACTAAAGATGACAGATATGGCAAAAAGCTACATGAGAAAATTCCTTCTCTATTGTCTGGTTTGTACTATACGTACATCAAACCCGTGGAACATGTTGCATACAAAGTAATTTTTCAGAATGTTAACGCATTCCAAACCTGGCATGATCGTTTAGGCCATCCTGGAATAGGGATGATGAGAAAAATTACTAGCAATTCCATTGGTCATAATTTGCTTGAGTCAAAATTTCCTCAATCTTCTGATTTTGTGTGCACATCTTGTGCCACGGGAAAGCTAATTTTGAGGCCCTCACACCTCAAAATACAAGCTGAACCACTTCAGTTCCTTGAACGTATTCAAGGAGACATTTGTGGTCCCATTCAGCCATTATCTGGACCTTTCCGGTATTTCATGGTTCTGATTGACGCATCTACACGATGGTCACATGTGTGTCTTCTATCCACACGAAACTATGCATTTGCCAAGATAATGAGGCAAGTCATTAAGTTGCAAGCCCATTATCCTAAAAGTCGAATTAAATCAATTCGGATGGACAATGCTGCAGAATTCTCCTCACGTGCTTTCAGTGATTATTGCATGGCTTTGGGGATTGAAGTTCAGCACTATGTTCCATATGTCCATACAAAAAATGGTTTGACTGAAGCATTGATTAAGAGGATCAAACTCATTGCAAGACCTTTGTTGATGAATTGCAACTTGCCAACCTCTTGTTGGGGTCACGCTGTTTTACACGCTGCTGACTTGATACAATTGAGGCCAACTGCAATATCACAGTTCTTCCCCTCTGGAATTGGTACGTGGAAATCCTCCAAGCATTTCCCATCTGCGTAAGTTCGGATGTGCTACATACATCCCGATCTCACCACCACAGCGAACATCTATGGGCCCACACAGGAAGTTGGGGATCTATGTGGGGTACAAATCACCGTCGATTATCAAGTACCTGGAACCCCTGACTGGGGATCTGTTCACAACTCGTCACGCTGATTGCATATTTAATGAGGAACATTTTCCGGCATTAGGGGGAGATTTCAAGTACCAGAAAGAATGCCCGGAAATTGATTGGAATGCTCATGCCATTTCATCCTCTGATCCACGTACCCAAGAGACCGAACTTCAAGTTCGGAAGATCATTAATTTGCAACATCTTGCAAATAATCTGCCAGATTCATTTACTGGTTTGAAAGGTGTTACAAAATCCTTAAACCCGGCCAGAAACGCGCCAGAAAGAGTGGAGGTACCAATAAAAACCACTCAACTCTCTATTCTTAAAAAGAGGGGGAGTAGTACGGCCTTTGACCCGGAGCATGCTTCTAGCAAGCAGCAAAGGAAATCGAGGAGAAAAACCTCGGAGTCAGTAAATGCAGGACAACTCAACGTTGACAAACACCTGATGGGTAGTATACACCTAGTGGAAGGGCAACCTCCACAACCCAGTTTTAGTGTGCACAAACTGACTGGGACATTGGAACACCCAGACTCGATCGTATTGGGAAATCACGAAGAGTCACTAGGGGTGCAGGAAATTTCCATCAACTATGTTGATTCTGGAGAATCATTTGATCGTAAGACTACGACTGTCGACATATATTTTGCTGAAAAGATTGCAGATACCCTTCTCACTGATCATGATCCAAGGTCTATCGTTGAGTGCCAAAAGCGCTCCGACTGGCCTAAATGGAAGGATGCAATCCAAGCTGAAATTGCCTCGCTTAACAAAAGAAAGGTATTCACTAAAGCAATACCTACACCTCCCAGTGTTTTCCCTATGGGATTCAAATGGGTTTTTCTCCGGAAACGGAATGAGAACAATGAGGTGGTGAGATATAAAGCAAGGCTCGTAGCACAAGGTTTCACGTAGAAACCCGACATTGATTTCACTGAAATATATTCTCCAGTAATGAGTGCAACCACTTTCCGATATCTTATATCTTTGGCAGTGCAAAATCATCTATCTATCCAGTTGATGGACGTCGTGACCGCATATCTTTACGGGTCACTAGATTCGGACATATATATGAAGGTTCCTGATGGAATCTCTGTCCCGAATAAAAATGCAAAACGCAACATGTATTGTGTAAAGCTGAATAAGTCACTATATGGCTTAAGGCAGTCGGGACGGATGTGGTACAACCGACTCAGTGAGTTCCTTCTTTGGAAAGGTTACTCCAATAGTGTTGATTGCCCATGTGTCTTCATCAAGAAGTCCTCTACAGGATTTTGCATCATTTCTGTGTATGTTGATGATCTCAACATCATCGGCAGCACACCAGACATTGATGAAGCACGCAATCGTCTAAAGATGGAATTTGAGATGAAGGATTTGGGTAAAACCAAATTTTTGTTAGGTATTCAACTTGAGCATCTTCTCTCAGGAATCATGGTACACCAATCTGCCTATATCCAGAAAATATTGGAGAAATTCAATATGGACAAATCATATCCATCTAAAACTCCCATGGTGGTTCGATCTCTAGACGTAGAGAAAAATCCGTTAAGACCAAAGGATGATGGAGAAGAGGTGTTGGGACCTGAAGTTCCATACCTTAGTACTATTGGAGCGCTTATATATCTTGCAAATTGCACAAGACCTGATATTGCATTTGCAGTGAATCTACTTGCTAGACATAGCGCAGCTCCCACCAAACGTCATTGGTCTGGAGTGAAGAATATCTTTCGATATCTCCAAGGCACAAAGGATCTTGACCTATTTTTCCAGTTCCTGGAAAATCAGGACTCTGATGTGATTGGATATGCAGATGCCGGCTATTTGTTTGATCCCCATAATGACAGATCTCAGACCGGCTTCGTGTTCCTACATGGTGGCACTGCTATATCATGGAAGTCTTCGAAACAGACTCTGGTGGCAACATCTACCAATCATTCTGAAATAATTTCATTATTTGAAGCACCATGCGAATGTGTATGGCTTCGCAGAATGATAAACCACATACAACAGTCATGTGGAATGGGTTCGATAAAATCACCTACCATTATCTATGAAGATAATGCGGCCTGTGTTGCGCAGATGCAAACAGGATACATCAAGAGTAATATCACCAAGCATATTTCTCCTAAATGGTTTTTCCCTCATAATCTTCAGAAAAGCGGGGAAATAAGCATTCTGCAAGTCAAATCATGCGACAACCTTGCTGATTTATTTACCAAGTCTCTACCAAATTCTACATTCCAGAAATGTGTTCATGGAATTGGTATGCGAAGACTTAGGGACTTGCAGGTGTCAGGGGGAGTCTCTTCTTGAGATATCCTCATTTTAATGACATCACATTATGCTATCTTTCTTTGTGAGTATATGTTTCAGGATCTTATCAAAAAAAATTATGAAGAACTTTTGAAGGAGAAATTTTTGAGATGATAGAGCTTTCCGGACAATCGTGAAGATGATCTACATGGTCAAGCGTAGATTAGGGGGAGTGTTAAAAATAATTCTGTAATTAGGGGAAAATCTCCCCTTGCCCAAACCATCGTTGCGGTTTGTCCCGCAACCGATGCCTCCCTTCGATCTCCTAGAACCGACGCCCCCTCGAGGGATCGTCGTGTCTCTTCGGATCGTATAAAAGGGGGCCTGTAACCATCGATCAAGTATTCAATCACTTTCGATTCAAAACAATTTTCAACACTTATCGACCGGCCAATGCAAAGATCATGTCACTACTCACTAGGCACTGGGTTACTTCGGATATTATTACCTCAGCCTCAAATTAGGTTGTTTAGATTTGTGTAGACACGGATGTATCGAATCGTGGCCATCCTGGACAAGGTAAGTCATAATATTACTTCACCGTATAGTATTACTAAGTATAGTAGTTAACCTCAATGCATGACTCGCGTTGCACTTATTCAAATACATAGCTGATTGGCGCAAGTACACGGATGATCTGGCTAGATGCATGAACATATTATATCCTGGATCTGCACAACTGTTAATCAATCAACAAACGATCACATTTTGGTCCACTCGCCCCATGTGAGCTGCCTGCACGGAGAGCATTGAAGCACCAGCGATGACCACGCAGGCCACGCGGGTCTGAAATTTAAGCTGCGAGACCACGAGTGGGAGGTTCCATAATGCACGGGAGATGCCATCTGCACCAATCTGGATGGAGAGGAGTTCAGTCAAGCCAGTCCAAGCAATATGTAGGGCCCGCTTAATTGGCTTTGGGCCTGCGATTTTTGGAACAAAGAGCAAATAATTTTGCTGACAGGGAAAAGAATCCAGAACAGAAAGGACCAGTGTTTGTAGTATATACAGTATATGTTATCGCTTGGGATCTCAGAGCCAAGAATTGTATCCCGTGATCGTGACTGGGACGCAAACTCGAGGCTAGACTTCCTTTACGATCTCCAGCCACCAATCATCCTAAGTCGACGATAATGTACAAGATACAAGCTACAGGCTGCCGAAACAGGCAAGAAAATCCCATGACGGGTCCTACCAAAACATCTTATATTTAGGTACTATATACATACACACTTATCATCTACTCCCTCCGTCCCATAACATAAGATAGGACGGATGGAGTACTTCCTCACTATAATAAAGGAAAAACATCTTTTTTTCCTCTGATAATACTACAAAGCGACTCCCCATAAAAAAAACACAAAGCAACTCCTCTGAATCTTCACCGGGTTAAGCTAATAAAGACACCAAATATAAATCTGGCTGTTCCCAGATGGAAAGATTAAAAGTAGGGCAATACTTACTGGACCAGCTAAACGGTAGTTACCTCCATTGCATATTTCCATAACACTAACTGAAAAAAAAATGTAGGTGACTAACCGAATGCCACTCTTTCTTAGAATACTTGCCTAGCAAGTGTTGTTCTTGGCAATGGCTCATAAAATAGTGGCTACAACTGTAGCATGAAGGATGCAACTGTGTCAACATGTGCCGACTGATTGTATACCAAGACAACTACAGGCAAACAGTTGAAAAGAAACAGGCCACAATAATGTGCTTGTTGTGTAGCATTCAGAGATCCAGAAACGTGCCAACAAAGACGCCCGATTGGTAGCGTATGTTAGCAAGGAGGGTAGCGTATGTTAGCAAGGAGGGTAGCGTATGTTAGCAAGGAAGCAACAAAAGTTATGTCATACTATTTGGCAAGATCAAGAAACAATACGACTATGATACTATCATCTAATATCACAGGTCAAGCAAAACACTCCTTGAATGCTCCTAGGCCCACAAGTCATTGACATAGAGTGACCCACATGTCACAGGCACACGGGATGGTTTTTCAACTTTGTAGGGCCATAAAAGGATTTAGCCCTTATCTCTTGCAAATATGCAGCAAAAGAGTGGGTTAATGGAATTTGGGTCACAGGCACACGGCATTTACTAGCAATGATAACTAGGCCTCCTGTTGAAGATGCTCAGAGCATGGTACCTGTCATCTGATGGCCATGGCAGAAGCATCACCTCTGTTCAATCTATCAAGGCGAAATGATTCTTCATCTCCTATCAAAGGAGGGATATTCCATGTGCCATACGCATGGCCTGATATTTTTCCACCTACAAGAAGATGACACAAATGACCGCATTTATGCTTTAGCACTCCAGGAATTTTTTTAAAAAGATCAACCAAATCAGATGAAGATACTAATTATCGGTATATCTTCAAACCAAAGAAAGAAGGCATACCTTCCTTTGTAGCCTCCTCACATCTTCTCCAGTAACTTCTTGAGATGCTAGGGTCCAATTTCTTTGAGAAGCTCTCATATTTTTCCTCAGCTTCACCGATGCACTTGGCCTATACGTACAGCAGCCATTCGCAGAACCAATTACCATTAGACTTATAAAAAGATAAAAGCTAAGATCTAGTAAAGCTTATCTGCAAATATGTAATTTAAACATATAATAGAGCAATTTCCATAAGCCAGAGCTATTACAATGTAAATAATTCAAAATCATAAGATTTTGCACCTACTTTCAACTACCAAGTTTATCATTAGATTTGCGAATATCTCAAGAATTCACATGAGGCTAACCAGATGCTCTCCATGCCACACATAAACACTTCTCCCAGTGCAATAACTCGTGCATTGAGGTTAATAGTTTTAGTTTGTACAAGGTTAGTACTTACGTAAATAAAAAAACATCAGTAAACTAAGTGTGAGATACTTGGAATTAAAGAAACTCGCATTTTATAAGCGTTGACTGAGAATAGAGAGCACCAGAAAAATTAGGAATACATCAGTGACATTATATCAAATAATATGCCATGAAGTAAAAGGCACAGATAATTTCTTACGCACCAACATCTTTGGTGCATCTAAAGGTCCATATATCGCAGCAAACATGCGGAGGATGTTAAAAGTATTGTTAACCACATCATCCTGCAACACATAATTTAACTAGTTAATGGTTAGATATGAAGAAATGCGCGCATGATTTTTTTAGTGACAATGTAGTTAGCAACACGTACCTCATAATCATACCTGCAATATAGCTAAAACAAGTCAGTGGTGAAACAACTGTTTTCACTGATGCTGTACAGAGAAGGAACTTCTCTAAATATCAAGAAGGTGACTCATAACTTTATTGTAATTGGATTTCCATTTAGTTAGGTCATTACATTAGATTGCACCACAACTTCGTAACCAAAGTCAAAAGTTCATTCATGAAAAGACTTTATTTTCAAGTCCAACATATAGCACATCATTTTCAAGACAGTTACAGGTTTTGCACAGTTCTTCTTACACACATACACTACCTCCCTAGAGCATTCAATCAAGCAGATCAGATGTGCTAGATATTCTTTAAGGACATGAACTGCACCATTCTATGTAAAAACTAGAGACTACACCATTGCACTTGTGCATGGAAGACTATGATTTAGAGTATACTCACAGGTCATCACATATCTCAACTAAAAATTCTGAGACAGACAAGAACTCCATGTGCAAGTCATTGACCTAGAAATAATCAAAGAAAAGGTCTGGTTGACAATAGCTGGCAATCGATAAGGCAACAAAGACAAAGATGTATATACCTGCTGACCAGTAAGCCGATACATCATCAGATTAAGAACTCGATAGTCAAAAGATTTGAGATGGATTGCTTCCATAACATCTTCGATAGATATCTATAGAGAAAATTTTGTAGGAACTATTTTCAGTTCGACAAGATATATGTTATCTGCGGCAGAAATGTTTGGTTGCAAAAAATATTTTTGATGTTTAAGCATTTGTCACTTCACATTTTTGTGCGCAAGCTGGGACGCTCTTATATGGCTATATCTATTCCCATTAGAGCGTAATACTTAACATCTGGCCTTTGCTCTTTCATGTTTCAATATTACATACTTCAGTGTATCCATAGATCAGCAAATATGATTGAATATAACATATGATCTAAGAAGCAGCTCTAGTTACCTTATCCTTTCTTGATAATGCTTGACAAAGCTTCCTCTCTAGAGACCAATACTGGATGCCAGATTTGAGTTCATTTCGCAATCTAAAACATGGGAAATATAGGGCTAATTCAATCAGGTATGGAGAATATTTTACATGTTTACAAGGGCATCGAGCAGAAAGTTCCCAACTGATCTGTCATTAACCCCTGGCATTGAAGAAGATTATCAAGGGGGTCAAGCATGTCAGACAAGGACATCTGACTAGAACCTTGTATTTTCCTTTCCAATACCTGCATTGGTAATAAATGGAAAATAAGAATAAAAAAATAACAGTAAATAACTAAATGAGAAAGTCAATGTACACATAATAATCTAAGATTTAAGTTGATCATGTCACGTATCATGTTCCGCAAGATAACTAAATCAAAAGTCCAAATCTTACTGTTGAAGAAGAGTTGTTCTCTGGAACTAATAGCAAACTGTCTTCATTTGAAGCATCTAACTGCAACAAGAAAGATTTTAGTTTGCCTAATGAAAAAAAAACATATGGAGAACTGTGAAGCACATTTCAGCAAAAACCTGGTATATGTAGCTCTCTGTAAAAGAAAGGAAAGGAAGAAACTTGAAAACAGAGTGTGGTATGTTAACATCCAAACCATGAAATATGAAGTATGACCTGCACTGCCATTTCAAGAAAAATAAAGTCAAGAATATGAGCATTCTATGTAACATCTATAAGGACATTTTCATAAGAAACAAAAGTATAAAAACGTGCTTGCATGAGAACAACCAAAGGTGTAGACATCTCTCTGATATAGTTTCTGAGTGAAATTCTTAAACAGTGTGATTAAAGAATAAGCAAAATGTACTCCATGTCAAATTGTCTTATTTTGATATGAAACCTAATGTCCATAAGTGAGTTCAATGTTTTTCTTCCACAAGTAAAATCATGAGAACGTTGAAAAAAGAAGGCAATAGGAGCAGAGTCTTAGAGAAGCACAGGGCAACTAAGGTTGTCACAAGTATCAAAGAGTACGCACAAAATCTTCAAGCGTGGAATTGGCTCTCATCATTGCATCGAATCCAATCATAGGCGCATCCTGAATGGTTAATTTCTCGCCATCCGTCTTGAACTTCTTAGTTGGCTGGCTCGATAAGATATATCTTGATCAGATCATTAAAGGACATAATCTCTACAGAGTGCCAGTGCCAGTTAACAACAAATTTGCTTAGTTCACTTACAAGATAAAATGGGAATAATACTTACTTCATCTTCCCTATTATTAGTACCTTCCAGACTGGCTAGACGTTGCACTTCTTTGAGAGTATCAGAATTAACCTTGAAACAATTATCAATATCAATTCAGTATGGCAAACATTTGAAAATAAGCAATTCAACATGTAGCAATGGGTCACTAAGATTACCTCTCTCAAAAGCTCAGAGATTAATACGACCTTCTTCTCAATGGCAAGTGAATCAAACGGCTGCGCCTACATGCACAAAATGAAGAGGACCCAAATCATGAACACTGAAATGCATTCAGTCTGCTATAATTCAACTATCACAGGAACCTTTCAAATGTCAGCAAGAGATAGTGAATTTAACACAGAGATAGGAAAAGGCAAGGCATGCAAATCAATTGAAAACATATTTTAATGATCATGATCATAAAAGGAATGAAGCCTACAAGGGATCTCTTGCTTATCTAGCAAAAAAAAACTTATAAAAGGGATCTCTCCCCGATTTATTAATGAAACCTAGAGGTTCAGAACATAAGCGATACCGAAATAGGCTTTCGCCCTGCTTTATAGATAAAGCAAACTGCCAAACAACCAGTTCAACACAACGACAGGATACAACACACACACACACCAAGTCTCAAACATAAACGATACCCAAACCAGGTTTGACAGAAAATGAAGAAAGGAAATCGTGCTACAGGCCTGCCAGACCTAGCAAACTGCAGATCTAAACATCACAAAAGACAGCAATAGAACCATTCGATGTGCAAGAGTCATGTTTTCCCTAGTTGTAGGATCCCACTCCACCTCACATATTTGAAGCTACAGTCATTGCTTCTGATCCAACAAGCACATGTAAGCATCATACTGACCGAGAATTAGACCAATGGCGAGTAGATAAGAGCTGTTGAAAGTTGGATGGCCTTTAGTCCTATATATCTCTACTCTCTACTCTTATAAAAAACAGAGTTGGTGATGATGGTGTGCCTGCCATCCTGCAATATAGGCCGTCCGATTTATATCTGACGGATAGGAAGGAAACTATGGCAATTTTGCAAAAAGATACCCACACCCCTCTCCACATTTGCAAATAAGGTCTTTCCTCGTTCATCATTTTCTCCCACAAGATAAACTACTCATACAAATGCATCTTGATGTTCCGTGCAACGCATGGGCATCTTGCTAGTTAAATAATAAGTCTTGGATAAATCTCGAAGGCCCATTTGTGCTTTCATGACATGGTGGGAAGTTTAGTCCGACCACAGGAGTGGAGGAGAGTTGGGACGGAACTCTCTTCCACGTCTCACTGGAGCATGAGAAAAGGAGTGTTACATGCGCGCTCGGCGCTCCTCCTCCACCACCCACCTCGCCCCGCTCGCGACGTGTTTCGTGAACGAGTCGAGCTCAGACCTATGTCATGTGTGCACTTTATCTTTGCCTGTTGGAAAAGGATAATTGATTGCTAAATAATTACGAGTCATTAGGTTTTAGGGAGGTGGTTTGTTCATCCCGCTTTTACTACTTATAGTATGTTCATAAATATGTCTGTTCTATGTCTGGTACGCACTCGCGTGATTAGCTTACAATATGAGATTAATACTGTTAGCACTGTCGTCATATAATTTACTTATGGATTAAATTAATCAGAAAATTGCTACTATACCCGACAAGGAGAAATTGGATCTTCAGTTCACCCGAAAATGCAGTCAATCAAGCGCACACATAACTTACGGATTTGAAGTGACTGGATTCGTGAACACGGCGGAAGAGAAAGGGGCGAAGTGCCTAGACAAACGATACCAGGAAGAGGAGGAAGTGGGCGAGGAAGCGGTCCCCGCCGCCGCTGCCGTCGGAGTCGGAGAGGCCGCGGGAGCCCATGAGGGAGAGCACTCTCTGCACCTTCTCTAGCTCCAGCAGCGCCTCCATTGCTTGGTGCCGTGCTTCCGCTCGATCTTGGTTTGGTTTCAGTTTCGATTTCAGGGTTGTGCGAGTGAATTCACTGGAACTTTTTTTTTTTGAGGGGAAGAATTCACTGGAACTGAAAGGAGGAAAAGATGGAAACGAGAAGGCTCGGCCCTGACTGGAAATAAGCTGGTCCAGATGGGCTGGGCCAGTTCTATCCGGCCGGCAGGCTTTAAGCACCAGGGAGGGAAAACCGGCGCTCACGCGCACCACTCGTGGGCCGCCCATTATGGAGCAGCACCGGTTTTCCATGGTGTTCTCTGGTCGCGGTTGACAGGCCGGTTGGGGTTAACCGGTCAATTCTTGACCGGTTGACCACTGACAATTGACTTTTGTGAAAATTGTATGACTTTTTTTTAAAAGACAAAAAATGGTTCGCAAATTCGAGAAATTTCACAGGTTCAAAAAAGTTAACGAATTTAAAAAAATCATCTGTTTTTAAAAAATAGGAAAAATATTATCAATTTTAAAAAAAACTTCACAAAAACTAAAAAACGATTTTGAAAAAAATCCCAAATTTGGAAAAAATATTGAGTTTAAAATCACAAGTTTGAAAAAATATCAATTTTGGAAAAAATATCAAATTTGAAAATATTTCATACATTTTATAAAAATATAAAAGAAAACAAAAAATAAAAATAAGAAAACAAAAGGAAAAAAACAAACAAAACCGGTCCCAAAAAAATATGGCTGGGAAGCTTCCCAAATTCAGAAAGAGCTCTCTCCCGTTGCACCCCTTAGATGGGTCGGCCCGACCGGAACGCCTTCAACACCGGTTAGCTGACATAGAAGGTGCCAAATAGGATTCAAGAGTGCTATTGTAGCTAATGCAGAATGATGTGTCTGGTTGTTGGTTGACGCCAAGGTTGTATGTCACTCCTACTTGATTCCTAATATGAATCGCCTACTAGCAACAATAGCGAGTCGGCCCATTTTAGCATGGGTGCTCGCTGTGGCCGTAGGTTTGCTTTGTTCTGGCTTATAGCGGTCACTCTAGGGTTCACTCACTTTGGGTTTTTTTGTTTTTTCTTTGCTTTTTCTCACTGGTTTCATCGATTCTTACCTTGGTTTCTTTGTTTTCTCAATGGTTTATTTTTGGTTTTCTTCCTTTGTTCGCTATACTTTGGCTTTCTTTGTTTCCTTTTTGGTTTTCTTCATTTTCTTCACTTTTCCTTGCTTTTCTTTCAGTTTCTTTGTCGCTTTATTTGGTTCCTTTTTCAAAGCATGTCTATTTTTTTTCTTAGTACATAATGTACATTTTTAGAGCACACATGATATATTTTTCTGATAGATGCCCGGACATTTCTTATAACATTCTCCTCACCTAATTCCTGTCCCGGTGGTGCTTCTAGCGTCATCGGCGGACATGTGGAGGTTTGTCTCCGGTGGATCCCGTTTGATTCGATCGGTGTTTGTCTTCGATGGATCCACGTGGATCTGGTCTTTGTTCGTGTGTTTACAGGTTAGATCATTCCGATCTAAACTTCTCTTCAACGGTGGCGGTTGTTGTTTTGGTGCGCTGGTCCTATAGGGTCTTAGCATGATGACTTTCCGACTGTCTACTATAACAAATTTTGCATGGCTCCTGGGAGGGAGGGCCGATGAATGCGGCGTGCCTTCGGCTCGCTTCAGTGATTGTAATCGTCGCTAGGTGGCCTACGGATTTGGGTGTAATTTTTATTATTTCTGGTTTCATTGTACTATCATGATTGATGATGAATAGATTGAAAGTTTTCTTGCAAAAAAAGAATGAACCAAACTCCAAGTGATGGTTACTTTTATATGCTAGAGTCCACGTCACATGAGGAATTCTAAGACAAGAATTTCGGGACGGAGGAGTATATTGTAGCATCTAGATCTTCTTTTCACCTTGTGTAGTTTCATCCTTCAAAAAAGAGAGGCTCAAATTATGAAGCTCACAATCTAGCTAGGTTTGCTTCTTCTTCTTTCCTTTGTGAGGGAGGATTGCTTCTTCTTTAGATAAGGGTACACACATGATGCAGAAAACTCTCTCTAGAAAAAACTAGTGCGGAAAATATACTCCTCCTACTACTACCACCGAGCTGAAAAACTTGAGAACAGACTTAAGAATTTTTTTAAGAAAATTATTATTATTAACAAATTTGGAAAATGTATGCCTGAATTCGTAAATTAGAAGTATGACCCCGTCGGCCTCACTAAAGATGAAAAGTCATTCTACGGTCTCGCTTAAACTAAAAAGGCACTCTTTGGTCTCGCTTAGGCCGAAGAGTAGCACAACTGGGCTACCAGGCCGAAGTTACATGGCCGTCGGCTTAAACCAGGCCGAAGTGCACTATTCGGCTTTCCCGTGACCGAAGAGTCCTTTTCTTCTTCCCACCCTTAAACAATTTAGCGTTTCCGCTCTTTTGAAAACATTTACATATTTTTTAAATATTTAGTTTGCTAATTTTATTAAATAAACATGCAAAAAATGCATCTTACATAACAAATATTCACGTATATACACAAACATGTTCATCATGTATTTGAAAATTTTCACCGCATAGCCAAAAAAGTTTCATCACGTATTCAGAAAAAAAAAATGTTCATTGCATATCCAAAAATTGTTCACCGTATCATAAGGAATGGTTGTCGCATATTTGAAAAATATTGATCACGTATTTGGTAAAATGCTTGTCATATACTCACAAAATGCTCATCATATGCAAAAAAAGTGTTCATTATAATAAAAAAAAGTGTTCATCATGTATTTATGGAATGTTAGCCGCATATTAAAAAATGTTCATCATGTACTAAAAATGTTCATCATGTACTAAGAAAAAGGTTCAACCTGTATTAAAAGAATGCCATCGAACACTAAAAATATATCATCGTGTATTTGATAAAATGTTAATCTTGTAACCTGAAAATGTCCATCGTGTTTTAAGAAAATGTTTAACCTGTATTCAGAAAACATTATCGTGTATAAAAAATATACTCATCGTGTATTTCAAAAATATATAATCATGTACTAAAAAATATTCATCTTGTATTAAGAAATATTTCAAACCGTATTAAAAAATGTCATTGTACATTAAAATAATATTAATCAAATGGAGGGAGAACAAACAACGCGATGTCACACAAGAATAATATTACTACTGAACGAGCAAACTAAATATTTAAAAATACAAAAAAAGCAGGAGCACTAGATTGGTTAACTGCGGGAAGATAGGTGGACGAAGGGGAAAAAAGACTCTTCGATCATGTAAAAGCCGAAGAGTGCACTTCGGACTAGTTTAGGCTGACGGACATGCAACTTCGGCCCAACAAAAAATGAAGAGTTATTCGGCCTAGTTCTGCCACTCTTTCAGTCTAAGCGAAATCAAAGAGTGCCTTTTCGGCCTAAGCGATGGTGCCTTTTCGGCTTGAGTGAGGCCGACGGGGTCATACTTTTAAAATTTACGGACTAGGGCACACATTTTCCGAATTTGTTAAAAAATAATATTATTTTATAAAAAAAACCAGACTTAAACTCTGACTAGTTCTCTCGACGACAAGTACTGCTTCCCCGTGCACAGGTTTGTAGGAACGATAATGTACTCGGAAACAAACGAACACACGATTGGTATGTATGCGAAGAATCTTCCAGGGTCTGACGTCCGGTTGGGGCTGGCCAAGTCCAACACCTGAAGTAGGAGCACGCCATGCGCGTGCGTGAGACCGGACACTGCCGAACCATCTACTACAGTCTACAGGTTTCTGAAACGACCGTGCGTGTATGATTGGTAGCTTCCGTGCTGACGACGCCGGAAGTTTCAGCTGCCAAGTGCCAACATGGCTCACCTCACCGTCTACTCGATGCATGGTGATCTGATGAGTTGTGTGTTGACGAGTTCTGGGTCTTTATGCGTGTGTTGCCTTTCAATCATGCCAACACCATCATTTACGGTGATCGCAGGCTGACCAACATGATAGGAGAAATTATCATAGCAAGGCGAGTGGTCTGACAAGTTCTGATCGAAAATCTGAGGCCTATTTTTCTCGAGAAGGAAGGACAGGCTCAACATGACATGAGATAGACCATGTTCTAGAGATTGCCATGTTTGAGCAAACTCCGATCCTCGATGGATCTATTTAAGTGGGTCTACTTCTGACACTGACACCTAAATTGTTGGCTTGTGGTTCCGAGAATCACATGGATGCTCTTCTATTTTCTACTCGCGGGTCAACTGACCCTCATGCCCTCATCTGACATGTAGTATAACCGTTGTGAAAATGAAACGTTCAGGTCGACCGAACCCAGGACTTCCGCTGCCGTGGATCCTGAAATTTCAACGCGTCGAGCACCATCGCATGCGCATGCACATGCACATGTTTTTGGCCAAGGTTTCACTGGCAATGTCAAAAGTGGAAAGACGTAAACGACATACTACTATACTTGTATGTTAATTAAGGTCCGGCTACAAGTAGTACGTGGTTATGCACCGATAACTGCTCACACTATGACATGCCGATTTGGTTATGATCCGATCCCTTGCCCTTAACGAGGAGGAGGGTTCCACCTGTGATCAATTTTTCCATCATGGTTGACGCTGTGCCGGCAAATTAACCCTTGTCCACTCCACGCCTAGAAAGAGGAGCGAGTCACGACTTTCCCGTTCAGCGCTACGGTTGGAATCGCCCTACCCGGAGCTTCACGTACGTCGTCGGTCGTTGGTGGCCTCGAGATCCATCCACAGTTTTACTCTAGCTCGGGTCGAATCTGTCCAAAGTCTACAATTTCACGGCTTCTCACACTAGTGCTACTCTAGATTAGAGCCATCACGTCAGATTGTTGGGGCATTGATCTTGAGATGACATAGCATATCATCCACTCCACCGTCCACCGCCACTGCACTAGAAAAGCGACGTCTGCGGTTGGAGTGGGGTATCGCGTCGGAGATGCTGTAATAACACCGGAGCGGCCTGAGAGAGAATGGTCGTACGCCGATCCATGGAGT